GTGCCACACGCAGTTGACTTCTAGATCACAGGAGAGCCAGCAAGGCCCACGGCAAGTAGAGGGAAGGAAATGACTAAACAGGGAAGCCCAGAGGCCCCCACGCCCACCAGACCAATGCTGGGGGCAGGGGACGGGCCGAGAGATATTTTGCAGCATCTTGGAATTTTCTTTTTCATCAGTTTCACAAGCCAGGAAGAATTCTGGGGCTTGAGGGGCTCAGCTATGCAGCACACAGTATTCAGAGAGCAAAACAGCTCAGCAGAAATTCAGGTCACAGCGAATCACAAAGAAGGGTGAGTCATGGGGAGTATGCCCTTCCAGCCTGAGATCAGAGATGTGACCCGGGAGAGCCGGCACCCCAGGGCTCCCCAGATCCCAGCAGGAATTGCCCCCACTCCCCAGCCCCACTCCAGGTCACCTGAAGGCGGTGCATCAGGCACCGAGCAGAAATGGGCATGCCTCAGCCTTTGCAGATCTTAGGAGCCTCCGGCCAAGATGCAGTGGGGACTGTTGCACCTTCTCCCAGAGAAACAGAATTATTTGGAGTGTATTTCCTGCCATAAAGCTGAAATTATGCTTTCCTCTCCCAGGCCGGAAATGAAGGATTCCCTAATTGCCAAAGACCTGAGGTAGCAGGTTAAACGTCCCAGGAAGCTGGTGGATCTCACCTTGTACACACAGGCACGGTGCCCGAGGCCATGCCTCAGGCCCACAGCAGCTCAGTGCCAAAGACACTGAGTTCACCCCAGCTCCGAGAGAGCGGAAGCAGACTCCTGGGTGAAGTGAACTTGGTCCAGATCACCAGCTGGGAAGGTGTCAGACTCCCACCATCAGACCCCAACACCCAGCCTGGAGCACAAAGATGCCGGTGTGAGCACTCAGAATGGCTGTCACAAAGGACCTGGCCAGAGCAACGACTATTTCACTTTCCTTCCCAGAAAGGAAACCAGGGTCAAAACCAACTTACTGTTTACTCACCTCCCGCCCTGCAGGCCAGTCCCCGGGTGACTCTGTTCTGTAGGATCCCGTTAGCCAGCTGCCCCATCTCTACACTCCCACCTCTGAGGACTGGGGACATGGGTCTCAACACTGTGAGCAACTGACCATGCTGAAAGCCAGGCTTATCACTGCTGGATAACTTCTGGGCTCTAAGAATCTCTCATCAGATTCAGCAACAGCATCTTCACATGGGAGAGACAGAGCTGTTTTTTACCTGTTCACTTACCATTACATGCACCTGTTCTTTGATTCCTGTTTATTCTTGTTAGTCTCCAATAGTAGCACTGAATACATTCTTTTAACAAATGGTGAGTTTTTGGGGGGAGGGTGGGGTTCAAGAGTATATTTCTTTTTAATGACCACATTATGATTTTTTTTCTAATAATATTTTAAGAATTCATTGGCCTGGTGTGATGGTTCAGTGGTTAAATACTCACTTTGCACGTACCAGGACCCCATATGGGTGTCAATTCACATCCTGGCTGCTCCACTCCATTCCCGCTCCCTGTCTCTGCATCTGCCTGGGAGACCTGAAGAAGCTCCTGGCTTCAGATCGGCTCAGCTCTGGCCAATGTAGCCATTTGGGGATAGAAGAGCTCTACTTTCCTATGTGTTTCTGATACACACACACTTGCCATCGTCTCCCCATCATACTCAGTACCTGGAAGTGGCTGAGTCAGCAGCGACAGGGATTCTATGGTTCTAGGAAGGCTGGTGGCCATGGCTGGGAGACCGTGTGGGCCTATGATGGCCTTCCCTCGAAGGCAGTGTTCTGTTCCGGTCGGTTCCTGTTGGTGGAACTGCAGCTTCAGCAAGGAACAAGAGACAATACAGCCATAGAAGACAACAACTTGTGAAAAATCAATGCGAAGCAGTCCACCCTGACAGAGGGCAAAAGCTGGAGAAGAGAAAGAATCTGGTGGAGCACGAGCAAGGATCGGGCACAGATGTGTGAGCACAGGAGGGCATACGGGCCTAGGTTCACAGATGAGCCAGGAAGTGCCCGTGAATTCCAACTGAACTGACTTGAACTCTGCCGAGCTGGAATTGTATCAAAGGCATCCCCAGAGGGTTGGGAGAGGAAATGAACCCACACCTCTGTTTCCAGTTAGGGCGGAATTCACTTTGTAATTGAGTCTGGCAGAGCAGCAAACTCTGCAAGCTAGGAATTTTGATAGATGGTGTTTTGTGAGCGAAGCCAGGCTGAAGTTTGAACATAAACGGCCCCTTGTTCACAGTTGCAGGGGAAGGGTTCCTTCTCAACCACGCTGCCTGCGTTTCCCTCCTGGACTTCCCTTCCCCAGGGGCGGAGTTTAGAAACCACGGAACAGTCAGGGGACCCAGAGGAGTCACTGGCTTCTCCCACAGAGGAAGAATGACAAGGGAAGGTAACCCAGGTGCCAGTCTGTGAGCCTCCAAGGGCGGATGGGTCCACCAGAGCAAGCTCCTGGGGACTGCCAGGCCCTTCCTGACGGCCACAGCTTCCACCCCATAGGAAGCCAGGACTTGTGTGCCATGCAGGCCCCCTATCTCAGCAAGGGGCTCCTGGGTAGCACAGTCTGGGGCATGGAACTCCGTGTCGGCAGCATGCCTGCCCACTGCAAGTGCAAGGTTGCCGGCTCAGTGTGGGGTCAGCACCCTGCAACCTAACGTCCCAACCCTGACTTGTGACCCTCATCCCAATGGATTCTCTCATGTCTTTTTTTAAATAAATAAGTAGTTGCTTATCTGAAAGTCAGTGTTGCAGAAAAAGAGGAGAAACAGAGCTTCCAGCTGCGGGTTCACTCCCCAATGGCTGCCACACGGGAGTGAGTCAATCCAACCAAGGTCAGGAGCAGGAGGCGCAGGAGCCCGAGGCCTTGGGCCACCTTCAGCTGCTTTCCAGGCCATCAGCAGGGAGCTGGAGTGGAAGTGGAGCAGCCCAAACTCACGCTGGAGCCCTGAATGTGGCTCTGTAGGTGGCGGCTTAAGCCCCTGCACCACAGTATCCTGGTTCCTGCAGTTTCAAAAGTGGAATAACTAAATACAGCTACTTTGAGGAGGAAACAGCCGAGGATGAGACAGGCGTGCTCAGGGTGGGGCCTTCCTGATAGAGATGGGAGCCATGCGTGGGCACTTGGACGATGCACTCATTGCCCTGGCCCTGCACAGGGAAGCAGTGGCCGGGGCATTTTGTCCCTGAAGGCTCTGCCAGTCCCTGTCGGGAGAGAGAAGTTGATAACTCCTTGGGAGAGGGTAGAAGGAGGACAGACACCCAGACGTGAGCAGTGGTCGGTTAGTGAGGGGCAGGGTTCCCCTGGACTCCTGCGGGATTCCCCCAGGAAGGACATGCAAGGGAGCAGCTCCCCGTGTCCTCAGAGGGACTGGGCAGCCGGGTGCTAAGCCAGATACCAGGACCCAGGAGCACCATGAGGCTGGGGCGGGGTCAGGCACCGAGGCACGCGTCATCGCCAGGAGCTGAATGAACCAAGACTGCAGGCTTTTTAAAAAATAAATAAATAAACAGTTGTTTATTTGAAAGTCAGAGAGAGGTACAGAGAAAGAGAGATTGAAGCCGAGGACTACCAGCTGCTGGTTCGCTCCCTAAATGGCCATGACGACCAGAGCCCAAGCAGGACTCACATGGCCAGGCCTGAGGAGACCGTTCCCGCCGGGCAGGCCCTGCAGAACAGCCAGGCGGCAGGAGAGGCCAGGGGAAGCAGGCAGGGCCTGGCTTGGCTCTTTCTCTCCCACCACAAACCCACCGTTGAAGAACCTCCACAGAAGCCCTGCTGACCTCCGCCGTCTCTGCCCTTCCCACCGGCCTTCTGCTTGCTTGCTGGGCTCAGGGGCCTGGCTCCCATCAGCTCGGACCTCGGCATGGGGCACATGCCACACACTCTCGGGGAGGAGGGTGCAGGGCTCAGCTCCAAAGTTAGCAGCATCATTTTAAAGCAACAAGTGTGTTTGTGAATGTGTGTGTGTGTGACCACGTATATATATGTGTATGCGTACATACGTATGTTTGTGATGTGTCTCCATGTGTACAGGTGTACACACCTGTGTATATCTCTGAACATGTGTTCAGAGCCTAGTGCAGCAGCCTCACGGCTGAAATCCTCGCCTTGCATGCACCGGGATCCCATGTGGGCACTGCTTCATGTCCCTGCAGCCCTGTTTCCCATCCAGCTCCCTGTTGTGGCCTGGGAAAGCAATTGAGGACGGCTCAAAGCCTTGGGACCCTGCACCTGCGTGGGAGACGGGAAGAGTTTCCTGGCTCCTGGCTTCAGATCGGCTCAGCTCCAGCCACTGCAGCCGCTTGGGGAGTAACTAGTAGACAGAAGATCTTCCTCTCTGTCTCTCCTCCTCTCTGTATATCTGACTTTCCAATTTTAAAAAAAGGTGTGTTCAAGTGTGCATGTCCGTATATATGTGCGTGTCTCTGTTTCTGCACTGGTATGAATTGTGTGTCTGTATTCATGTGTGTATCTCTGATTTGTGTATGTGTGGTGTGTATGTGTGTCTATGTGTTACCTGTGCTCAGATGACTCGTGTGATCTGCACTGGGGATGTGTGGACGGGTGAGTGTGTCATTGCGTGCGTTACCTATACTTGTATGACTGCATGTGTGTTTGTGTGCACCTGTGTGTCTGTACGCACGTGAACACGCATCTCAGTAGCTCGGACCCACATGGACTCGCACCAGCCCCATCCTGATCTCAGTGCAACAGTACACAGGAAATGACACAGAAGACTGCCCTCACACTCACATGGTTCCCACATCACCTAAGGATATTCTTAATTAGGAAAAAAAAGATGTATGTCGTTATCTCACAGTTACAGAGGGAGAGAGAGTGTGTGAACTTTCCTCTGCAGTTCAGTCTCCAGTGGGCAGCAACAGGATAGGGCCAGGAGCTTCCTCCAGGTCTCCCCTTGGATGCAGAGACTCAAACACTTGAGCCATCCATGCCATGATCAGGCAGCTGGATCAGAAGTGGAGCAGCCGGGACTCGAACCAGTGCCCCATGGAATGCCGACATCCCCTGGTGCCCCACAATGCTGGCCTTTCACAGCACCATAGCCACAGCCCAGAGAAGCCCTGCTTTTGTCCCTGGAGGTGAAGCCACCGGGCTGACTTGGTACGTGACCTGTCCCGTGAGGGCTTAGAAGATGGGGTCACATTCCGGATAAAGAGGAGGGAATTCTAATAAATCTTTAGAAGGTTTGGGGGGTTCCATATCCGTCCCTTCTGGATACCAAACAGCAGCTAATGCGTTCCACCATGGGCAGCATAGTGAGGGTGCCACGGGTGGGGCCTGCCCTTACCCCGCATCTGTGCGGGAAAAGTGACTGTGGGTGGGCCGGCAGGCTTCACCCCAGGCAGGTGAGACAAGGAGAAGAAAAATCCCAGGCCAGTCACCTTCCATGGGCTCCATGTCCCCAAAACCTGCATCAGGTTTGGGTTCCGGACCTCCAAGCCCGTCTAAACCTGAACAATAGAGCAAGTTTTAGAAATTATGGGAAAAAAAGTGTAGATCACTACAGATATATACAAAAGTGTATCTTAACCTTCTAAAATCTGAAGACTGATACTTGACCAAACATTTGAAAGGGGACTATTATAAGCTACTTAAAGTCAAACAGTTCTACTGGATTGTGGATAATATTTATGTAAATGAGCATACATGACACAGTGGGACATTCGCAGAGTTATCCAATGCAATAATGTTCCTTAAGGGCACGGAGAAGAGAGAAGCAGATCAGGGTACAAGACACTGCACGGGATGCACTGCCAAGCTGACGACAGAAATGACTCGCGCTGAAGACTTCTGGAAAGCAAGCACCCACCAGGGTTTGCGCGGAGGTGGTCTCTGGCAGGGAACTGTAAGCGGGCTCTCATTGTGCGTGTGTGCTCTGGGTTCCGGGTGGCTCTGTGCAGCACCAGGAGCGCCTGCAGGCAGCGCGGGGCTGTGGCCTCTCCACAAAACAGCAGTGGGAGATCCGCCCGAGCAGAACATGGTGTGATTGCAGAGGGTAACGGAGTTACCAACGCAAAGCAGTGACCTCACTGCAAAAGAAACAAGATAACAATCCCACTTAAGATAGCATCAAGAGAGTTAGAAAATATCTAGGTATGAAGTTCACCAAAGAGGTGAAAGATCTGCACGCTGTGACTGTGGAGCTGATGAAGCAGAAAGAGGACACAAATACACAAAAGGCTGAACCACGGCCAGCACAATCTACATCCAAATCCTACTGACGCCTTCATGGGGAACGCATGCCACAACCCTGCTGAGAAGGAACGTCGGCCCTCAAGGCATCATGGCCTCTTTGTAAAAGTGTGTCACACTGGGGCCAGTGCTGTAGAATAGCAGTAAGGCCAAGCCTGTAATGCTGCCATCACCTATGGGTGCCGGTTGGAGTCCCAGATGCTCCACTCCCAACCCAAATCCCTGCTAATGTGCCTGGGAAACCACTAGAACATAGCCCCCAGTGCTAGGGCCCATCCACCCGTGTGGGAGATCCAGAAGTCACCTCTGCTCCTGGCTTCAGCCTGGCTCCTCCCCAGGCACAGCGCTCAGAGTGATCCAGCAAGGAGATCTCTCTGACCCTGCATCTCCTTACCACTCTTTCAAGAAAATAAATTCAGCCATTTGAGAAGTGAACAGATGAACAAAAGATCTGTGTGTATGTATGTCTTTCTCTTTCAAATAAAATGAAAAAGAAATAAATCTTTAACTTAAAAAAAGCAATTGCCCTTTAAACCCAATTGTCCCAATGCGGACAGATTCCCACACCACTTCCTACCAGTCATCCTATCACTTCGTCTAAAGAATTCCTTTATAAGCAGAATCGGAAAAATTTGAAATGAGAAAATCTCAGATCAAGGGTTTCAATCCAACAGATGTGGTAGACAAGGGGTCCACAGCGCAAGACCCAGGAGTGTTACTTCTGACACGGCATGGTCAGGTAGGCATTGAGGGGCCAGGGAGGGCAGCGTGCTGGCATGGTGGAACTTTCCGTGTAGGAACTGGGCCTGAGCCAGGCTAAGTGCTGCATTCCAGACAATGGCCTTTGTAGAGAAAGGGTCTTACACAATAAGACTCATTCAATGAGGGCTAGACTGGGCTGGATTTACTCAGAGGGTCCAACCCCTCTCTGCTCCTCTTGTTGTGATTGATTCTTCTGCTCCTGTGTGTCCCAAGAAGTAGCAGGTCGTGGTCTGTGTGCTCGGGCACACCCCAAGAAGAAGCAGGTGGCGGGCGGTCCCCGTGCCTGGGCACCCCGAGAACCAGCAGATGACCGTCCCTACATCTGGTCGCATCCCGCAAACCAGCAGGTGACGGTCTCGGAGCTCGGGCACGTCCCGAGGAGCAGCAGGTGAGAGTCCCTGCACCTGGGCGCATCCTGAGAAGCAGCAGGTGGCAGTCCCTGTCCTTTGAGTCCTAGGTGTCCTTGAGGCAAACACAGAGGTCAGCTCCTGGTGACGCTGACCCATCGCCCACAGCTGCAACTGGGGAGTGAACTAGTAGGTGGGTCTCTTTCTACCTGTCTCTCTCTCAGTATGTGGCTAACTTCACAGCTGGATGAAATTCAGGACTCCGGGGGAGCTGTGAGCTACTTCCCCACTGGACGCTCTGACACTACAGAGGGAGGAAGGCATAACGAGGCTGAGGCCCCACCTGGGCCAGGTGAGCAGGTGACAGACGCCAGAGGAGGTTCCTAGCCTTAACCCTGGGACTGACCAGTTCCGGACGCTGTGCCCAAGGAAACACCTGGCAGACCTGCCTGAGAGAAGCCTCGCGGCTGAGCAGCCTTTGGCTGCCCAGGGCCACAAGGGGACAAAAGGGCGGTAACAAGTGCTCAGAAGATCTGGGACAGAGGGTCCGCGCTCTACATGCAACTTCTGCTTCACTGGAAACAATTCCAAAACTGGAAAATTGGCCAGAGGGCGAAGCTGGCAGCTTGTGACACCAGCACTCCTTAGAGGGCACTGTTCAGTCCCATCTGCTCTGTTTCCAGTCTGGTTCCCTGTGAAGAAACCTGGAAAGGCTGCAGGTGATGGCAGAGGCAGTTCAGGTTCCCCAGGTGGAAAGCATGATGAAGCTCTGGGCTCTCTCTGTCCCACCTGCATTGTTCCCAGGCTCTGGGAGCCAGCAACAGGCACTGACATCCCCCCACTTTGAGCTATTCCTGGAAATGATCGTGGTCAAACAGGTGAAGCCACCCCCAGTCCTGTAGCTCAAACCAGGTCCCAGAGGACTCCACGGGGAGCGGACTGAGCCACAACTGGCCTCAGCCTGCTTTGCTCCTTTTCTTTCATGCAGAAGGGCAAGGATGGTGTCCACAGCTACACACAAGGCCATAACCTTCACCAGGGCCATTTCCGGCACTACAAGGAAGGCGCTGTCTTAGCTACAGAGGAAGGGCAGCTGACACTGGCACACTGAGTCTCCCTGGTGTCCAATGGGGCGTCTGTGTTCTGCTGCCTGTGTCCAGGGCCGCATCCTGCACCCCTGGCTGGGCAGTGATGTGGGGACCCCTCCCAGAAGTTGAGATGTGAAGAAGGGAGATCCCCCAGGGTCACGGGACAGGATGGGAATCTGACCAGAGTCTTGCAGCATCCATTCCTGTACCCATTCATTCAGCAAGTTGTTCCCCATGCCTGGAGATAGTGCCACACACCGCAAAGCAAACCAGGCTGGCAGGGGGCTGTGTGTGCAAGTAGCTTTCATACCTGACACCCATGGGTCCATTCAAAGACAAGGCCCACGCCAGTCCTAGGACAGGAAGTGAAGGCCACAGTTAGAGCCTGTGGGCAGCACGCAGGACCCTAACGGCTACCGAACGTGACTCAGCTGAGCTGTCCTGTGTTCCTGGCCCTGCTTGGGTCACCTTGAAGGGGGCCTGCTCTTGTCACTGGGGGGGGGGGGCGATCTGGACCTGGGGTGGGGACCTGCCTTCTCTTCAGCTTCCAGTTCAGGTGCAGCTGAGCCCCTCCAGTGATGGGGTAGCCGCCCTCGGGTAGCTTCCAGGCAGTGATGACACCAACACTCGCCGTGCCGGGAACAGGTGCGGCATATGCACACCGAGGAGCTGGAGAGAGGCACATTTCTCATCCCACATCCTCAGCAGACTCTTACAGGCAGGTGCTAACAGACCCACTTTCCTAACAGGGCCAGAGGTCAGGGAACGACGGGGTGTCTTCCCCATTCCCTGCCGTGTCCTGGTGCTCAGCGTTGGAGAGAGGCGTCCTGGGAGGCCACACGGCCCAGGGCGCATCCTTCCGCATCTCCTGACTGAGGGTGGGGGTCTGGAGAAGCATGGGTGTTGGCAATCCAAGAGTTGGTTTCTGCAGCTTGCTGCCACCTGTCACCTCCCCACTCCTCAGCCGGAATCCCACCGTGGAATTTCAGCACACAGCAAGTAGACGCCGCGTCCCCCTGCACCATGCCCGCGGGCATGGGGGCCCAGGCTCACGCCAAGGCGCAAACACGTTCCCGCAGGATCCGAGGGGCTGGGCAGCATCCTGTGAAGGACCCCGCCGGTGGCAACACCACACACACATCCACACCGCCGTGCTGAAGCCTCCGGTTCCGGAAGGAGAACGTGAACCGAGACGTCAGTGGAAGGCGGTCGCCGGGGCGCGCTGCAGCGTCTCGCCCTGCCGGCCTCGCTGCTCCTCAGTGCGGGCGCGTCGGCTGCCCCGCGCTGGGCGCTGCGGCGCGGGGACCGCGAAGGGGGCCCTTCCGCCGCCAGGTCCACTTGGCTCTATTTAGGGACTGAGAACAGGAAGGCAGTTGTCGTGCAAGATTAGTTTCCTGCAGACCGTAAATTGGCAGTAGCAGCAAAATACAGGATGAATTTATGAGCGTGCTAGGTCACGCCGAAAGGAAGCCCGGGCAGGGAGCCGGCACGTCGGCTTTCCTTCGGCCCAGTTCCCCAACTTCCTCGTGCTGGGCTGTGGAGGGGAAAAGGACCCTTTAACGACTTAATTACTTCTTAATAGTTTTAAGCAAATTCAAAAGGCTGCTGGTTGCTAAGTGCCTGGAGCTCCGGGCTGCCTGGGCTATGCGAGGAATGCCCGTTTGGGCGGAGCCTCGGGACCTGATTAGCAGTCCGCACAATCTGTGCCTTTGTCAGCCTCCTCCGCCTCGCAGGGTGCTGGCGCGCGAGGTATTTACTTTGAAGCTAGGATTTTACATCTGGGGCCTAAGCAGCAGTTTCTAACCGTGAAAATAAAAAACATCCCTGAAGCCAAAGCTCTCGGTGATTCCAACGAGAGGCGCAACCCTGTGTGAGACGTGGCTGTGGGGCATCGTCTTAGGAGAGGGGGAGGGGAGGCGGGCACTGCGTTACAAAAAGCATGCAAACCGAGGACGGTTTCTTTGCAACCACGAAGGACCAGACGGCCTCTTAGGAAAGAAGGCCGAGGGGCGGCGAGCGCGCGACCCCAGCCTCCTCCCCACTTCTCCTCCTTTTGATGTCTTTCCAAAAGGGCGTAAAGCCCTCGGTGCAAATGGCTCCCCGCGGGGGTGGGGGGGGGCGGGAATTGGGGTGTTCCGATCCAGTTCCTCACTGCTTTGGCGGGAAAGGCTACAATTCTAATTTTCATTTTGCCCAAGAACTGGCGTGCGTTCTTTGAGACGGTGCCCTTCCGCCAGGGACACGGAGTCTGGAGCAGCGTCCCCAGGGCCAGGGAGGGACGGAGCCCTGGCAACCGCTCACTTGCTGGCTGGGGTCCCGCTCTCTTAGGGCGCTGAAGGGGTGAGGAGGAGCCCAAGGTTCCAACCGTAACTCCGGGACTGGCTGGAACCTCCGTGTCAGGCCGGACC